CGCTGCAGCGTTGAAACAGAACCAGCATCTCGGCCCAGTTCATGAGAAGAGGCCACCACTTCGCGATCAGCTATCCACTGCTCCAAGTCGCCAACGACTCTGTTGAACAGGAAGAGCTGCAAGGCCTCATCCAGCTTAGCGCGTTGTTCTTGCGCCAAATCCTTCAGTCCGGCATATAGCTTGTCTTGTTGCGACTGTTTAACACCGACCTGCTCGGCCAAAGGATGTCCTTCAGCCGACAGGGCCTTTACAGTTTCACCCAGTCTTCTGATGGTGTCCGCATAAGCTTCAACGGCCGCTTCCAGACTTTCGTGCTTCTTTATGAAGTTCCTGGCGCTGGTCTCATTTTTGCCCCGATCTTCCACCATCATGTAGAGCTCCTGCTCGCTCATCCAGCTCTAGGCCTCATTGGCATCGAACAGATACTGCTGCGCCCGCTCGTTCCTCAGCAAGTTGGCTCGTCTATTATTGATGGCTTCCTTTTCCCTAATTTCATTTTCGCTTAACCGTCGATGCTCTCTGGTGGTGTCAATAACAGATTCGATCTGTAATGACACCACTGCTAAAAGAGTCTCCAAATTTGATGCAGCGTTTATGGATTCTACATCAGGCTGAGCTTCCGCTGGCGCATTTTCTTCGATGGGCATGTTTTCTTCTTTCAGCAATTCTGGGTCGAAAAACTGCTCAACTTCAGTAGCGATTTTAATTAAATTGGCGTCTTCATCTAATGCTGGAAAATCATGTACGGGTTTATAGCTAGTTGGACCATTGCACTCAGAATCAGATGATTCTTCACTCAAACAAACTACTTTTTCTGAGCCCGGTTCCACAGTTTTCCTTCTGAGCATTATTTCGGGTTTAGTTTTCGCTAATTCAAGCAGATTTTGAGCATTTTCAGTTTTATCAGCAACTAACAATTCTTCAGTCTTCACAATAGTCGCTTCGTCCGTAATCACCTTGTCTGATGGGAGTTCTTCAGCATGTTCGTCCTGTGATTCCAAAATTGCTATACTTTCCGTCTTTACCACTTCCTTCACTTTCGCCGCAGTTAATGTCTCTTCCACAGAGTCTACTTCTTTCGCCACTTGAGAATTTCCCTCTGTTGAAACAGTTACTTTTGATAGCATAATACCTGGTAAGTTTTCACAAGAGTTATCAGTTTTAGCCACATCATCTTCTTCAGAGACAACTGAATCAGTTATTTCCCCAACTAAGGACAGTTTCTGATCAGAACTAGCCACTTCGGGCTCCACCTGAATTTCCTCTAAATGCTCCTGGGCAATTTGTTCATTTGTGATCTCGACAATACCATCCTCTCGATCAACTTTCGGCTCTTGAACTATTGGATTTTCATATTCTGGCTCTTCCACTACTGCAGGAATGTCCACGATTTCAGTGTTTTCCAAATCATCAGTCACTTCCTCGATGTTCTTTAGTTTGCCTCCAACGGTTGTTTTCAGGTCTTCAAATTTCTTCGCGTTGTCGTCCATTTTATCTCTCATTTCTTTCATCACTTTCTTAATGTCGGCCATTTTATCCAGCATCTTTTTGTGGTTGTCTTCCATTTTGTCATTAATTCTGTCAAGTTTTTCGTCCATTTTCCTACTGTTGTCTTCCATTTTGTCGCTCATCTGCATGAGCAGTGCAATCAAACTGGGGTTCTCCATTGCAGAGTCTTCCTTCTTTGATTTACTTCGTGTTTCCATCAAAATTCAACTTGGATTCTGGTAGATCCCACTTCTGACACCAAATGTACCGTCGATGGCCGAGTATCAAACTCTTTCTTCAGCTTACAATTTTTATTCCACTCGGTATTGCTTTAAATACGGAACTTCTTGTTCCGTATTTACTAACTAACCCAAACTAACTTCCAAATTAACGTCAACTTCACAAACAATAACAATAACAGACCGAAAGCTCGCTCTTCCGACTCGCGGGGTTTAACCTCTTCTGCACACAGATCACAGAGGTTATAGATTGGAAACTGCCATATACGCCTGCAGAATGCTATTTGTCGCTTATCTCAGCGGCTGCAATCAAAACTAAACTCTAATTTCCACTACTGGCAGAAGAAATCTTCTTTATCGAATGGGTTCACATCAAAATTTAGCGGGGTATTTGATTTCAGTTTATGATCTCTGTGATTTCCGTTGAAGTTTCAATAACATTTCAAGCATTTCATCATGCTCCTTAATTGTGATGTTTATGCTAGGGCTTCAGTTAACATCACAATTAAAGGGCAGTATGAGATACTCGAAATATTTTTGAAACTTCAACGGAAATCACAGAGTTCGTAAAGTGAATTCAAATCGCCTGCTAAAATTGTGTTCGTGTGAAAACTAGGGCAAATCGGGAAAATAAAGCACAT